GACTTGAACTATGTAGTCGACCATGTGGAATTAAGTGCCATAACCACCGCACCACTGGCCAGCTTGTATTGCAGCATTTTGACTGTGACCCATCACACGAGGTCAGGTGTGGAATTTTCCACTGTGGAGTCGCATGGGGGCTTGGAATGTTTCCGATTTTGGAGCATTTTGTTGTTAGGATGTTCAGATCAGGGATGAGTCTACACCGTAAGTGGGTGTGTAGCTCCTGATGGCGAGAGTCTCCTTGACCAGTGATAGTGAAGAGAGTGAGGACTGCCATCTGCAAACGTCATTTGATTTCATGGCGTGAAGCGCTTCTATTAGATTGTCTTACTTCACCTTTTCAGCCTCTGCAGAGCCATCAGGGACTGTTCCAGGGGAGCGCTGCTGCGAGTGGGGAGATCGGGCTGAGAGAATGCAGGGAACGTGCCTCAAGTGCGGGAGGAGGCAAGACAGCCCGTGAACTTCGAAGGCTGCTTCCCGATCTGTACCTGATTCCCTGGGCCGCCTACCCCTTCCTCTGCTCCTTCTCTTTTTGAATGCCTTTTGAATCCCGCCAGCGTCTGACTTAATTTACCTAATGGTGCCCGAGTGGTCGGCGGGACGAAGCTGCAATTCCCATTCAAGGTGGAGCCACAGAGTGCAGGGATGTGACGAGATGGCCTGAGGTCACCTGGCCTTCGGGGGTGGCCAGGATGGCAGCTGGGTGCTCCCTCCTGCCTCCAACCTGCCGTGCAGCCAGCTATGTCAAGCAGCTCACCAGCCCACTGAGGTGTGCACCGCGGGGCATCCTGCCGACTCTGCAGAACCCGCAGCCCGGTGCCTCCCCCTCCTCCCTGCAGCTCCTCCTTCCCTTCCTCCAGGTCCTCCCCAGCCAAGCCCCTGTGGCTGAGACCAGGGTGAATTCCTTTCGCGGCAGCGACGGGCGGTGCGCAGCACGCCTCCTCTAACTACAATCCCAGCCCCGGAGAGCAGGGGCGTAAGAAGTAGACGGGGAGCTGTAAAGCCTTTAAAAAGAGGCAATAAAAGTTTTGGGTTTCAGATCGTCTTACTGGAGAAGAGAATAACAGAGACAGGAAATTTCAGTAGCAGACGCGACAAAGGCCACAGCACGCAGACTGCCCTCAGACGAAAACACCTCTGCCTGTGCAAACAGAGGGCGTCCTGGTGGGGCCCACACACTCCCCGTGCCGTGCCAACCTCACGCCAGCTGGGGGAGGCGGAAGCGGCCGCTGCAGTCGACTGTCTGGTCTCTGTGGCTGTGGCTGTTTATAATACTCCAGGTCTGTGCAGCCCGAGGTCACCGCACGCTCCCCATTAGCCAGGCTTCGCGCACGCACGCGCCAAGGGCTGTGGGGGTGTGTTGGGCACAGGGTGCATGTGTGGTTGGGCCAGGCCGGGCTGAGGCTGGGCTGACCCTGGGCACTGGGATGGGTGGGGCAGGAGCCACTTCTCTCCTTGGGAGCCCAGCTCAGACCCAGGGAGGCTGTTGCTGGGCCTGGCCCCCCACCCGCCGCCCCTGATTTATTAATAGAAATGTTCCAGTTGGGAAGAGGACAGCACCGTCTGGCCACTGAGTCCGGGCCGTGAGGCCACAGCCCTCCGCTCCTGTCCCTGACCGAGCCCAGGACTGGCTAAGCTCTTATGCCCACGGAACTGTTGGTCCGTCTGTTTCCGGGGGCTGCTTGGTCTATCCGGCGCATAGCCGAGCTGCGTGGGGAAGAGGACAGCACCGTCTGGCCACTGTGTCCGGGCCGTGAGGCCACAGCCCTCCGCTCCTGTCCCTGACCGAGCCCAGGACTGGCTAAGCTCTTATGCCCACGGAACTGTTGGTCCTTGTTTCCGGGGGCTGCTCGGTCTATCCGGCGCATAGCCGAGTTGCGTGGGGAGGGCTGCCCAGGACGCGGTTAGACTCGCATTTCAGATAGAGGGCGGTCATCTTCCGTGAGTGTGTCTGTGTAAGTGCGTCCCCGGTAGTGCGCAAGACACACCTGTGCTCCGCAGGCGTGCGCTGTGTGTGAGAGTCAAAAGCCACCACCTGTGTGGCTGCTCAAATTTGCATTAGTAAGTTAGACCGAGATGTCAACATGCCTCTCCTTGGCTGCACTGGCCATGTCCCAAGTGACCAGTTGTCACACACGTGGACTGAGCGGCTGGCAGACTGGCCCAGCCCGAGTGGCTTCACCCCAC